CTGGCTGTAGTTCCTGGCTCTGGTTTTAGTTCTAGTTCTGGTCTTGACTCTAGTTTTGGCTCTGATTCTGGTCAAGGCTCTGGTCCTGGTTCTAGTTAAGCCTCTGACTCTGGTCCTGTCTCTAGTTCTGGTCCTGGTCCTGGTTCTAGTTCTGGCTCTGGTTCTGGTAAAGCCTCTGGTCTTGCCTCTAGTTCTAGTCCTGGTTCTAGTTAACCCTCTGGTCCTGGTTCTGGTAAAGCCTCTGGTCCAGGCTCGGGCCTGTTTCTTTTTAAGCCTCTGCCTCTGGTACTAGCTCTAGTTCTAGTTCTGGTTAACTCTCTGGTCCTGGTTCTGGTTCTAGTTAACCCTCTGGTCCTGGTTCTGGGCTCTGGTTCTGGGGGCCCACCTGGTGGTACTTCTTCAGGATGTTGTGCATCTCGGCGATGTCCTCGCTGGAGACGGTCTTGATGACGAACCGGTGGTCGTAGCTGCACAGGAACCGGTTCCCGAAGCGCCCCTGAGAGTCGCTGTTCAGCGGGGCGCTCCTGGTCAGCGAGTTCTGCCGGGGACAGACCGCTGTGAGGCAAAGCCGGGCCCGGCTGGGCCCTTTGGACCTCTTTACGTCTATCTGGACCCCTTTAGTTCTCTATGGGACTCTCTGGGTCTCTTTAGGGGTCTCTGGACCTCTTTAGGTCTCTGTGGACCTCTTTAGGTCTCTATGGACCCCTTTAGGTCTCTCTGGGACTCTCTGGAACTTTCTGGTCTCTCCGGACCTCTTTAGGTCTCTCTTGACATTTTTAGGTCTCTCTGGACCTCTTTAGGTCTCTCTGGGACTCATTAAGTCTCTCTGGACCTCTTTAGGTCTCTTTGGGCATCTTTAGGTCTCTCTGGACCTTGTAGGTCTCTCTGGACCTCCTTAGGTCTCTCTGAGCCGCTTTAGGCCTCTCTGGGACTCTCTGGACCCCTTTGGACCTCTTTAGGCCTCTCTGGGCCTTGTAGGTCCTCTTTGGACCTCTTTAGGCCTCTCTGGTTCTCTCTGGACCTCCTTAAGCCTCTCTGGACCCCTTTAGGCCTCTCTGGACCCCTTTATTCTCTCTGGGTCTCTCTGGACCTCCTTAAGCCTCTCTGGACCTCTTTAGGCCTCTCTGCTTCTCTCTGGACCCCTTCAGGCCTCTCTGGTCCTCTCTGGACCCCTTTAGGCCCCTCTGGTTCTCTCTGGGCCCCTCTGGTCCGGTTTGGGGACCCACTGACCTGGTAGTCCTGGTCGTCGATGCAGAACCTCTCCCTCAGGTTCCTGAACACCATGGGACAGTACTCTTTGAACTTGAAGCGGCTGGGCAGGTTTTCTCTGGAACAGATGGAGGCTCGGAGTCAGGACCAACTGGGTCTGAGATGTGGACCACCAGGGGCCCCTTCTGGACCCCCAGGGTTCCCCTCTGGACCCCCTCTAGGCCCTGGGGGTCCACATCCACCCCCTCATGAGTTTAACTGGATAAAAACCGTTGGTCTCTGCTGGTTTAGAGGTTTCTGTGGGACTAAGAGGGTGAAAACTGGAAGTTCAGTAAGGGCCGATGATGTTTATATGTTTTATATTATATTAATAGGATTATACGAGAATATAGTAGTTTTATAGAACCTTTACTTGAATGCTTTTGTTATTTTTGTCAAATAGAAGACATTCTCACATTTTATTGCACTTTATTTTATACAATTTAATTTATTATTTTTCAATAAATCAATTTATTTTGAAGTGAATTAATTTAATGTAATCAATTTCTATAAAATGTATAAAACTTTATCTAATATTTAGTTTATTTCAAATTTACTTTATTTATATCATTTGTGTCAAATAGAAGACATTCTCATTTTATAGCACTTTATTTAATAAAATGTAATTAATTAATTCAATTTTAAAATAAAATTAATTTAAATTAATCAATTCATAAAACTTTATTTATTCAATATTTACTTTATTTATGTTATACTTACTTTTGACACACAGGTGAAATTTCATGTTTTGGCCCTTGAGCTCCAAATTAAATTCAAAATAAAAAAGAGCTCAAATAAAATAATCCCTTGATATTTTGGGAGATTAGTGGTTCAGATTAGTGGTCAGATGGAGTGCCCCCCCCCCTGACCGGGGCTGGACTCACTTGTTAAACAGGTGGTTGTCCACTTTGATCTTGCTGTAGGCTTTGAAGTCATCGGGCATCAGCATGACCGGGACAGGCACGTTGCTCAGCTCGTTCACCTGGGGGGGGGGGGGGACCTCTGGAGGTCTCTCTGGTTCTCTCTGGACCTCTCTGGGTCTCTTTAGGACTC